GTGGGACTACTGAGGTTTTACTTGCACTTTTCACCTCTGTGTCTGCAGAAATTTGCCCACCCCCACCTGGGAGAAGAGAACCCTATGCCGTGCAGGCACTCAGATTCAAGATTGAGAAAAACACACAAAAGAGTGTTAAAAGCTGTGGATTTTTTAAAAGGAAGCATTTATTCTAAGCAAGCAGTCTCCATCAGCAAAAGGTATCTCTTTAAAATACCCTTCCTTGAGGCAGCCTTGTAAAGCAAATAATTATGAGTTACAAAACCAATTTGAGTCATAGTTAAAGTCCAAAAACATAAGTTCCTAACATGTTTAACTGAAACATTCTATTCCACCCATAATTAAAGATGGATACATTTTGGGATATTCATGGAACTGCGAATCTTGAGGGGTTTTTTTTAGTTTTTTGTCCAGCTTTTACTGAGCTCCTCCAGGTGGGAAAGGACCCTTGGTCCTTTGTTTCCCTTTATTTCTATTTCCATTACTCTTATTTTGTGGACACCAAGGCATTATTTATAACAAGAAGCATCTTGAATCTTCCTCAAGCAGATCTTCGTATTGACTCTCATCTCTGGTACACTTCTCTGACACGAACCCTCGTAAATGTACCTTTAAATCCCAAACCATATTAACTCTGTTTACCCCCTCAGATGTGTTGCCTAGATTATAGGAGGCCCATTTTCAGAAAGACACTTAAGGCTTTTTGGACTAAAGTTGTCAGAAGTGCTGTCTGAGGGCTTCATCTCTAGTCACAACCTTCAGATGAGCATCAGGAGATTGGAACCAACATTTGTTCACTTAAATTCAGGGCTGTGTGCAATTGAAGTGCAACTTTTTAATGGATATATTTGCAAGGGCAGAAAACATTCTGTAGTCAAGATTAATTGCACAGTACATTTGTTTATTTTGCACTATATTCTTGTATTTGCTGCTCATGGTGAAAGGCACCCTTCAGTTCCTCCCTCCTGTGAACTCAAAACCCGCTAAGTTTTTCTCCTTATAGTAAGAGTTGACTTCCATTGAAACTGAAGGCAGAGTGAGACAAGGACAGAGGATGATTTTTGGTGATTATTGATTCTCCTAGGTTTCAAACGAATAGTCAGTGGGTTGCTGTGCATTTTCCGGGCTCTATGGCCATGTTCCAGAAGCATTCTCTCCTGAGGTCTCACAACTTCTGAATATTCCTGCCGTAGATATGGGTGAAACATCAGGCGAGAATGCTTTTGGAACATGGCCATACAGCCTGGAAAATGCACAGCAACCCAGTGATTCTGGCCATGAAAGCCTTCGACAACACATAACTAGTTAGTGTCTTGACTTTGACATATTTCTAACATCACAGTATAAACATTAGAAAGTGTGACTGTCATGGTGGTTCAGTTCTTCCCAACAGGTACATTCCAGAAGGATGGGCAGAGAAATTTCTGCTCTGCTGTTGGGACATTGGCCTATAGAATGACTCTAGATTCCATCTTGTTCTCCATACTATTTAACATGTACCTTAAACTGTGGAGGAGATCTTTATTTGGGCAAGATGTGGTAGCTAGGAATCTTCTAATCAAGTGCCTTGACACTAGTTGTGATCTGGATCATAGTGAATAAGCTTAAACTTTGTCTAAAAATGGTAAAGATATTGGTGGTTGGTTAATCATGTGGCAATAAATCCATTATGAATGGAGCTGTATTGTTTCCTTAAGGATTAGAGCTTATGTCTGGGGATACTCTTGAATCTTCTTGGGTGCTCAGATTAAATTATGTCCAATATATATATATATTTTAAAAAATCAGCTTAGGTGATAGACAATTTGTCTATCTCTCCCTGCTGAATTATACCCAGTGGAAGTTTTTAATTTAGTATAGTCCAGGGTTGGGCAAAGGTAGTTGCAGTCCAACAACATCTGGAAGGATAGATATTTAGCATCTAAAGTGATCTTTTGTTGATGGTATTTGTCCTCTTTTAACCAAAAAGAATAGCCCTTTACCCAGTATATTTTGCTAACATGGATCCTTAGGGTATTTGTTTGAGAGCTTATTTGGTACCATTTGCTTTATAGCATAGAGATATAGCAGTGTTTGGTCAGAGCTTATTATATAGCTCAAGCACTGGCAGAACTGAAAAATGTGCCTGTTTGGCCAAATAATAAAGGGGAAAAAAGTAATGCTTGACTCTTAGCCAAGCAACCTTAAACTTCAAAACCAGCAGTTGGCACTCTGAATGTGTTGTCAGTCAGTATTAGTCAATGAAGCTTGGACATTGTCTGCCAAATGAAAAATGGTAATGAAACCTATCCATAATGTCTGCCTTCTTAAATAGTCCCCTAATTGGAATCCTTTGGATGTTTTCACAACTATATTGTACTCTTTTCACCTAATCTCTTTCATAAAGTTTCTCCAGTTTTATTACTCTTTAATTTTATTCTCTGTGGAAGGTATGAACTTCTAGCCCTGGAAGATGAGACTTTAGTATCCATGTAATAAACTGAAAGAAGAGAAGAATTGCTTCATTTTGTGGATAATTGACAGCAATTCCATTCTTGGACTGTGCGCTTTTTAAGAAGGCCAACTTTTCTATTTTCTGAACTAAAAAGGGAACGAATATTTGCTTAAAATAAATTGTGAGGATGGGTAGTTTACAGTAGCATTAGCAGAACCACTTGGTATGATTTTATTTTTATACCCTTCTAGAGGATGCAGAAACATGCTCTGTTCTCTTGATTTCTGATGAGGCAAAGTGTACTGACATTTTCATAATTCTTTGAGAGGGGGATGATGTGTGATTGGCTTATTGAACGGTCACAGGTATGGTGCATTTACCACTTAGTAAATGGCTGCCTATATTCAGTTCATATTTAGATTAATGCCATGTCCTAAAAGAGTCCTACACTTTCACTTTTTAGATTACACTTTCAGAGGACATTCCTATTTCATCCTGTCTCCCAACATCTACATATTCATTCTCTCCGTTAAGTGGTTGAAATAAATACAGTATATTTAGTGTATGCAGTATATATATCTAGATTACAAATTCAGGAAAGGGAGGAAACTTGTTTGAATCAGATTTTTGTTACATTGAAGATACTGACTGCCATAAGATTGATCTGTATAGGAGCTCATTGAGACTAAAGATAGTTGGTCTTTTTCTTCCTTGGGGAGGATGGGAATTTGCCTGACCATTTAATTCCATCCTGGATGGTGGTGCAGGCAACTCGTTTCACATAAGTGGGTTACTTCTCCGTGCTGTTTAGAAAGACAGCCGCTCCTAGAAAGTTGTTTTGTGCCTTTCTGTCAGCTCAGAACTGAACCATGACCAGCAAGAACATTTGTCCCACCTCACTAGACCCCTCCAGATAAATAATCGTGATAATAAAGGCTAGCCCTCGAAGAAGTTGCCACTTACAGAGTAGGTTGCCAAGCCAGTGTAGCCCCAAGAAGTATGGGAGACTCAGCGGTCCTTGATGACAAATGAAAACTCTTGGCTTCCTCATAAACGCCTTGGTCTGAAGCCAGGATGTTTATGGGCATGAGCGATGTTTATTGTCTTGTACTTACTGTGCTGCTGCTGGGATATTGCTTAAGTCAAAAATAATAATAAAAATGTGTGTGTGTGTGAAACAATTTATTTTGTGAGCAGACAGAACTCCCTGCTGTGTTAGTGGCTTCGCTGTGAGGGCCTTAAATAATCAGCTTGCTAAGAAAGGAAGCTTGGCATTGGCCTAGCTGTACAATAAGTGTCTGGCTAGATAGTACAAGGGCTGCCCTGCTCATACAAATGGTCCCAGCATAGTTTTAGGAGTCGAAAATGGTGAAACAACTGGGCATTTACTTGGGGGCACTTCACTGCCACAGTCCTCCTTGGTTTGTGTTCTTGAGTATGCGAGCTTGACCACTTGGACAAAGGTTAGTGTAGACTGTGCAAAGCTGTTTCCATTATCACAAATGCTGGGAAATGGATATTTGGTTCTTGTATCCGAGTATTTATATAAGTTCACCATCTCACGGAAGAATGTGAGCTGACTTTTTAGGTGTCTTAAGCAAGGAGGAAAAGGGCAATCACAATTTGTACAAAAAGGTACTGCAAAGCACTGGGAAAATAGCTCTAAACCAAAATCAGATATGCTCATTGATATGTTCAAGCTGTAGTTAATTTATTTGCATACAGTTTAAGGAAATGTTTTCTAACTTCAGAGACTTGTTGATTGCTGTGTAAAAACAAAAGAAGCCAAATTACTGTTAATCTAAAGCGGGGTTTATCAACCAGGGCCCCCTGGAGCCTGAAGCTTCTGTGAGAGGTCAGTAAGAAAGAGAGAATATGACTGGAAAATCTTTTTGGTGCAGTAGATATGCAGAGGTTCTGAACATTATTTCAAGGGTAACCCTCCAAGGTAAAAGATTGAGAAAGACCAATCTGAAGCCAGTCTTTTGGCAGGGAGATTGCTTCTTCTCAGAAAGCAACATCATGCCTTCTGTCCTTTTCTCTCTTATCACATATTGTATTATATAACTCCACATTTTATATGCTATTACTGCTGTGAGTCATTGCAGAATTGCACAGTACTTTGCAAATTCTGACTAAGACAAGCTACATATTCCCCATCTCTGGTTTTACAATTGTTGTTGTGTGCCTTCAAATCATTTCCGACTTACCATAACACTAAGATGAACGTATGTCAATGTTTTCTTGGTGAGATATTTTTATATTTGCTTTCTTCTGAGGCTGAGAATGTGTGACTTGCCTAAGGTCACCCAACATGTTTCCATGGCTGAGTGGGCTACCCTCAACTTCAGAGTCAGAGTTCAACATTCAAATCTTGCTGATTCTCACTGCTTACAATGCAATTTCATGTTTGTGGTCCTTGCCTTAAGGATATTAGTCCAGAAAGAACTCGTCATTATTAAAAATGCCCATCATTTTAAAAAAGATCATATTAATTGCCATCTTATGTAGTAACAGGTAGTTTCCATAAACCAATAACCTTTTCTTCTCTTTTCTTTTTGCCAAGCCTGCAGATTTAGATGCCTGGGTAAGCTCTTCTCTCTCAGTATGCATGCATTCCTTTTATCCTATACTTTGTTTGTTCTCATTTTACTAGATGTTGTTGAGTTTATTTGTGCTGCTACTACACAAAAACAATTGCTATTGCTGATCACCACTGCAGGAGTGATTATTTTGGTCATTACATTTTAGAAGGTGTTTGGCTTTAAATATGTATAAAATCTTCTTCGAGAGACACTTATAACTGCCAAAACTAGTCTGTACTTAATGGATTGACTGACCAAACCCTCAGGTGACTGGATGGATGGAACAAATAAAGATATCTTTAGGACTAGTTGTACAGAACTGTAATAATATTTTTTCTTTCCTTTAACATGAGTAAGAAGAGTTGGAATTCTGAATGAATTATGCCGATAGGAACTAAAGCATGAAACAAAGAACTTTGGAATGACTTGGCAGGGATGAGATGTCTGGGATAATAAGTGAGAGCCCTATTAAACAATTCTGAAGGGCAGAAAGCTAACTAATGAAATGCAGTTCTCATTTGTAGTCCTCTCCATTATTTCAGACTTACGTGCCAAGAACTATATTCATGTTTTCTATTGTGCAAGCAGGGAGGCTATTTGCAGAAGGAGTTGGAAACTTGAAAATATCTTGCTTTAAGACAAAATCCTTTCTCTTGTAATTTTAGAAGAAAGTATCTGCCAATTGGATGTAGGTTTGGACTGGTGGCACAGCGGGTTAAATCGCTAAGCTGCTGAACTTGCTGACCGAAAGGTTGACGGTTCGAATCTGGGGAGTGAGGTGAGCTCCTGCTGTTAGCCCCAGCTTCTGCAAACCTAGCAGTTCGAAAACATGCATATGCGAGTAAATTAATAGGTACCGCTTCTGCGGGAAGGTAACGGCACTACATGCAGTCATGCTAGTCACATGATGTTGGAGGTGTCTACGGACACCACCGGCTTTTTGGCTTAGAAATGGAGATGAGCACCACCCCCCAGAGTCGGACACAACTAGACTTAATGTTGGGGAAACCTTTAACTTTACCTTGGACTGGTAGTTGTTTAATATTTTTTAATAGACAGTTATAAGTTCTAAACTTAGCATAATGTATTTAGCATCAATAGGTGACTAATAGGCTTGCTTGATAGAACACATAGGAAGTGAAAAACAAAATCAGCACTATTGATGAAATGACACTCTGTACATGCTTAATATAAATGAATTATTTCAGTATCACTTCAGCAATTTCCCTCTGTGTGTATATCCTATTTAATAATGTTATTGTGGCTTTTGTCAGTGTAATGACTGAAAAATCTCTTACATTCCTTATATAGTCTCTTTCCCTTTATATCTTTTCCCACTCAAATTGATTTCACTGCAGCTTGAGTTCAACTGTACGCCTATTCAAAATGCAGTCCCACAAACTTCAATGGCATTACTCCCAAATAACCATGAATTGGACCAAAAAATGCTCACACTTGTTCTTGCTCTTGGTGAGGAACATTTCTCATAGTGAGAGAGTCTTGGGAGTTACTTCACTTTTGCTTAGCTATGTTGTTGCAGAAAACTCAGTTTCTTATGAAGGAACCCACAGAACGTACAGTGAAATTTCTTTCCAATATCATGACTGAAAGGATGAGGGAAAAAGAAGTCACTTCAGTCCTTGTTCACATATACTGGTAGTATTTACTTCCAGCTGTATGGATCTATAAACACAGGATCCTTTTCTGATCTAGGAAGCTTAGCAACATCTCCCTTGGTTCATTCTCATGGTCTCTGTGGAATGCACGCATATGGTACTCTGGTGCCTATGTGCAACAGTTCAGGAAGTTCTTATAAGTAACTAGCTTGAATATGGCCCCACCCCTTCTTCTCCTGCCCACGTGCTCAATGCCAGTTCCCTTTTTTCCGCCTCAGAAGCAGCAGCTCGAGAAATTCTCTCCCTTGTCTTTGCTCCTCTACTTTCCTACTTCTCTTCTTCCTCAAGGCATCCAGCTTCAAAAGGTACTCAGTGTGCGGGGGGAATTTCCCTGGCTCCGACGCCCATGACCAGTGCCTTCTGTGCCTGGGAGAGGCACACCCGGTCTCCTCTGTTGCCTGCAAGACCCAGACGCCGCAGGCAAGAAAATGGAGGGAAATGCGCCTCAAAACGCTCCTCTACGAGCGCGCGCTCTTCCCTCCCCCTTCAACTCACCAGCTTTCTATAGCCCCCTCAGCCGAGGATGCCACCCCGACCCTCACCTTGCCTTCTCCGGGTCTATCCTCCTCCTCCAAGTGCCCTTCCTCCTCCTCCCGCCATCCTTCCTTCTCAAAGCGTCCTCATGCCGACTGGGCCGACCTTCCCTCCTCCAAATCCAAAAAGAAGAAAAAGAGAGAGGCGGAGCCGACGGTGGCTCACCACACCCTCCCTCCGACGCAAGCCTTGCTGGACCCACGCACTCTAGTGCAGAGGCCACGCCGCATGCCGAGCCTGGCAGTGCAGGCCTTGGTACTGGCAGCGGTTCCACCCCGCCCCCCCCCCCGAAGCAGGGTAGCTGCCTGCCAGCAAGAGCCACCACCACAAATGGTGCTGCTGACCGCCTCCGCAGACCTGGAGGCCCGGGACTGCCACGCCCAGATTTTGGGCTCACAGCCCGCTGAGGTAGGCTGCCATGACCTCTCTCCTCTGGACCCGGCCTACCAGGCCCGAGCGGCCCCACCAACCCTCTCTAATTTTTGTTCCCCCAGCCTTTCACAGTATGGGCTTCCAACATTCCCTTCCCTCCCAAGGGGTGGCCATGCCTCCAGCAGTCTGTTTACTTGGCATGGTGCATCCAGGGGCAACTCTCATTCCAGGGACCAATCAATCCATCGGTCTCCTGGGGGCCGGGCCTATGTTTATGGTCCGATCCTGGTGCCAGAGCACAATCCTCCTGGTCCTCCTCACTTTGCATCTCCCCAATGAGCCTCTTCCATCATAGCACCCCTACATGTAAACAATGGGGACACATCGCCCCAGGACCTCTCTTCTTTCTCCGGATCCTGCTCCTCCCACTCTTTCCCGGATCACCCTTCCGCTATGCAGCCACTGTCAGCTCCCGACGCCACTGACTTCGCTGCCCTCTCGCCCGCCTCTCCAGGGTGCTCAAGGTCACCGTGACTACTCCACCTCAGCCGGGTGACGATTTCTTGTTCCCTTCTGATGAACAGCTGCAAGCGCAGCTCCCTTCGGCAGTCTTTCCAGATATCCCTTACCTCTTACAGCTTACAAAACCCCCTGACCTCCCGCCGCCCTCCGTGAACCCTGTTTCCAGAAGAACGACCTGCTCTACAAAATTGACTTCTCTACCGCTCCCTGGATTGTGCAACCCCCCAAACCCAACACTGTGGTCACTGACATGACTCAGGGCAAGTGCTTCAAACCTCATAGTACTCCCTCTGACAAAGAAGGCAGGAAACTGGACTCCATGGGCAAGAAGGTGCACACGAGCGCAGCCTTCGTCACCCGTCTCGCTCGCTATGAAGCCTACCTCGCTTCTTACCAGACCTACCTGTGGAAGCTCATGACTTACATCCATTACCTTCCGGATGATCACCATTCCATGGCCAAGGCTTTCCTCCAAGAAGCTCTCACCTTGTCCAGAGCCCAGAAAGACATGGCCAAACATGCCACCTTTTCGCCACTTCCACAGCCATCCAATGCCATGCCTGGCTTTGCGCTTCCATGCTCTCGGAAGAGGGCAGGGCATTGGCAGAAAACCTGCCCATCCACGACTCTGGCCTCTTCAATCCGGACACAGACACCCAATTGAAGCAAATACAAGAAGTCAGGCAAGCGGCCCATAAATTCAGCTACACAACGCAGCAGCCCTCCTATGTCTTAGGTCAGTGGACACCCTCTACTACCTACAACTGTAGGCCCTACCCGCCTAGCAGCAGGCCTTTTCCTCAGGCCTCCCTCACCCAACCTTCCAGACAACAGCAACCAACTAGACCCCACTTGCAGTGGAAACCCTGATTTCAGGGGAGGGGTAGGTGCCAGCTTTAATGCGGTCCCACCCCCGTCTCTCTCACCCCTGCCCTCACACTCACAGCATGTGCCCCCCCTTGCGGCATGATGTTGCCCTTCCATTTTTGTTAGATTTTGATGCCCTAGTATGGCACCAGCTTATACCCCGGGGTACATTTTCCATTTGGTTCGTGGTTAGCATCCTTCTTTCCGGTCTGGCAGGTAATCACCAATGACCAGTGGGTTTTGGATGTCGTCCGATGGGGCTACTCCATTGATTTTCTTGCACTACCGACTACAGGTTTTGTAAAACCTACTCACCCTTCACTGGGCTTATGGGATCAGATACATTCCTTATTAATGAAGGAAGCAATTGTCCTTCTCCACCCCGCTCTTTCTGGTCGCCAAGAAGGGGGGAGGCCAACGAGCCATCCTGGACCCTCGCGCCCTTAACACTTATGTTTACTCCCTCAACTTTCGGATGGTGACTCTGTCCACCATCCTCCCCCTCATCCCTTCGGAGGCGTGGTTTGCGACACCTACTTCCACGTCGCCATCTCCTGCCCTCACCACCAGTTACTCTTCTTTCATGATAGGTCACCAAGGCTTCCCCTTTCGGATCCTCCCCTTCGGGATCTCAACCGCTCCTAGGGTCTTCACAAAGGGCATGGAAGCAGTGATGGCTTCCTGTGCACTCATGTCATTACCGTGTTTCTGTACATAGACAACTGGCCTCTCCTGGCCCTTTCCCGCCAGTCCCTTCTTAATGACATCCATTTCACTCTTTCACTTCTACAGGACCTGGGCCTCATAGTGAATCATACCAAATCCAGGCTCACCCCCACAAGAAACATACAAGAAACATACAAGAAACCCCCACAAGAAACATACAATTCATTGAGGCTCTTCTCGACTCCACGTCCCGCACTGCCTTCCTCCTCAAGGACCACTTCAGAGCACTCCGCGCATCCATCCTTACCACCAGGCACCAGCTGTCGGTCCCTGTGTTCCATCTCCAGTCCATCCTCGGACACATG